GGTTAAGATGGTAAGTTATGTAGCTCGGAGTATGTAGGTCGAATTAAGGAAGATGTTTCACAAGTGCATGAAGAAAACTGGAAATAAATAGCTCAAGATGGGCAGTGATGGACTGGCTTTGTTAAGATGGTTAAAGATCTATAAGGTCTATGATGCCAAAAAAAAAAAGTGTTACTTATTATTTCTTCTTCTTTATTATCTATATTAATTTCTGTTTAGTTTATATACATATAAACAATAAGTAGAAATAATACTTCAATGGTTACAGTAAATAAATGCAACCCTTCAACAGATCAATTTAACTCATTTCAATTAAGTACAAACTCAATAAAATTTAAATATTCAATTTTGATTATTTAAAACAATTAAGAAAGAAAACTGGATAATTTTATCTCACAGTCAAAATGATGCTCCTTACTACTTATTAACTTTTAAAATACTATTAATTTAGTTCGACATCTTGTAGGCAAGCTATTATTTTCTACCACTCCTTTCAGTCTGTTTGTGGTGGAGTCGACCAAATTTTTTGGTGATTCCAGGCTTAGCCTGTTCCTTTCTTGAAGGAACACATTTTTAAAGTCTTCTTTGCTGGAAATTACTTTTTTTCCTTTCTACTAAAACTAGAAAGCAATAGACCAAGGTAGGGAGAGACGGTGAAGGCTGGTTAAAGCTCGACATCCACTTGGGCCGCCTTTGAAATGTAAATATAACTGAATAGATAGAGAGTCCCCTTAGAATTTCCAATATACAAGAAAATGTGTGTCTTGCAAGAAAAGAAGATATTGGTTGTTAACACCTGACTATGCTGAAAGGTAAGTAGAAATTAAACAAATTTATTGACCGAATTTGTATAGCTTTTTTCTTTATTTTTATTCTAACTAAGACCAAGAAAGAAAAATTAATCGCATCGATGAGAATCATTAGAAAATATAATATCTCACCCATTAATATTAACAATTTCTCAATAGTGTAACTTTGCAACACTATAGTCGTATTTTATTAAAGAAAAAATGTGGAGTAAGATCGAAGTGGTACATGACTACCTACCCAGCAGATAAAACTTACTACACTAGTTGTAAGTTGGCTAACAAAATAAAAACAGAAATTAGAAAATTCAAAACCTACTTATCTGAAAGTTTATAATAATTGACAAGTCATTATGGACGACTACTGAAGAGCTGCTCAAGTTCAAATATTTCAATAATTCAATACATATTGAATCCCACACCTGGTCATGATCAGACAATTAAAAATCCTAAATATCCAGTCAGTAACTCTTCAAATCTTTTTGCCCCCAGGTTCATATTCATAATCCAATCCTCTATCCAATGAATGTATTGAAGATAAGTTACATATTCCTTGCCAAATGTCCCTTTCCTCTAGAGATTTTCATCCGTCAGAAATATCGGACATCACTGACTGATTACCTTGCCACAAAGTCCCTGGACACGATTTAATCTGATCCCGTATCTCAAAACTTCTTCCTTGAAAAGCTATTATGTTTCTTACATGAATATATCCTCCCCTCATATTTTTCTGACCTCTGAAAATTATTTAAAGCCAAAATAATATCCTAAAACAAAATCTCAACAGAATTCTCACCAAAGAAAAAACAAGAAAGGGAAATGAAATAAAAATATTTTTATTATACAGGGGCTGCTGTTCCTTTAGAACAAAGTATAAATACTGAGAAAAGTGAGCCATATCTTTGAGGAGTGTCCTCGCTACAGGAGAGAAATGGAAAGACTTGGTGTACCTCGTCAGCTCTGTGAGGCACTAACAGATAATGAACAACGTATCGATAGTACCATTAAATTCATTAAGAACATAGGGCTAATTCTACTAATCTGAACTAAATTACTTTTTCTCACAAATCTCGATATATTGACTTAATTTCTATATACTCTATACTTTTTTTTTTTTTTCTCCTCGATAGTAATTTATGTATATATTTTTTTAATTCCTTTTTAAAACATATTTATTTTTGTAATAGTAGTTTTAAGATTGAAAAATAAATCAATCAGTACTATTTGAGGGCAATGATAACCATAAGCAGTTTTTTGCCCCTAAACCCAAAACAACAACAAAACAACAACAATACTGAGAAAATGCCTGAGTGACCAGACATTAAATTAAATATTTAGCAAATCTAATTAAAAATAAAAAATATATTTTGAAAGAACAAAACAAACATATATATACATATATATTTATAAAATGCTCGGTGTTTCCAATTGCTTCAACTTTAACTAGACAAAACACTATTAAGTTCCAAGTAATTAGAAAAAAGATTGGCTTAGGGAATTGAGCTTTGATGTTCAACTAAACCATTAAATTTCTTTCGTTAAAATAGTTTAATACTTGCAATTTAAAACCCTTCGTCAAATCCCCAACGCTCTTTACTTTCATATTATATAAAATAATCTAAACACTTTTTACTTTCTTAACATTTTTTTATTCATTTGATTTGTTTTTTGTTGCTTTTAGGGCCATTCCAGATAAAATCAACTAGTTTAAAAACAATTTTGAATATATAGTTCTTGGATTTTGATAATGTTTTGGCTAGTTGTTGAATGCATTGATATAAAGTAAAATAAAAAATTTTAGATTCTGCTTTTTGAGTAATAAAGTTTTAAAATAATAAAAAAAAACTTGAAAAACGTTACGCTTTTAAAATAGTTTTTGGGCTATTTCTCAAGAAATATTTCATCTAGAAAGCTGAACCTGTCGCTGAACACTTTCGGTTGTTTATGTTCTTAACTTTAATAAACAACATGAATATATTAAAAAAATATAATATTTTTGCAACAACACCAAAAGCTTTATTTTTAAATTAAAAAAAAAAAAATAAGATTTGATTTTTAATATAATATTATGTTTTATTCTAACATGAGGTGGCTAATGGTATTTATACATGTTTAAAGAATAATATTTAATATATCTTAAGCCTAAATAAATAAGATATAATAGATCTAGGCCTGTATGCATATTTACAATTGTATCTATTGTGCCTTATAATTACTTCCTATAAACCTATTTAATTCAAAGCTACAATTTCAAAAAATTTTAATTATTTTTTTGAAGGCATTTAAAGAGCATTAAAAAACAAAAAAAAAAAAACAATGTAAGTAAAAAGAATCAAATAAAATGAAAGCCAGTTTTTTTTGCATCCTCAAGGATATGCGGCGTCGTTTTCCTGTTCACAGCCAAAACCTGCCCAAGGACTGCGACTGGGGAGACATAGACACTAACCAGTGAAGAAATGAATGAATCAACCATCATTTTACAAAACAAAAGTTAAAGTATATTAAAACATAGGAGGAAACTGAACTGTGATCATTAAATATGTTATTCATGTTTTTTGTACTTCTTTGAATAAAATTATAAGTAAAATTTAAATAAAAGTATATATATGCACAATTTGTTTTTGCTGTAAAACATGTATTCGCGCCAGTCAATTTTTTTTTAACAATCTGCAAATGGGCTGGAAATACAAGACATATTTGATATGTCATGCATGGGGAAGGAAAGTATTCATCTGCATCTCCCCTCTGACTTGTTTCAATTACTTAGATGTTTAAGGAAGGAGATCTCTCATCCAAAGGCTATTTAGTCTCCTCCTCGTGTTCTGAGGCATGTCAGCTGTGGCCATGTCTCTTATTAATCTATTATGATGTCCATTTAAGTTTGTATAAAATCGTTGGTAAAGGGTTCTTATATGTTGGTCAACTGTTGGAAGGTGGAGGTCAAAATGTAGAGATTTGTTAGTCACGTACCATGGTGCTTTTGTTATGAGTCGCAATAATTATGATTAGAAGGTTTAAAGTTTTTTTATGTGAGCCTTTTTAGCGATGCCGTATATATGTGATGAGTATGTACATATCGGCTTAAGTAAGTATGTGTATGTATTCAGTTTCTGTCTCAATTTCAGCTTTTAATATTAAAAAAAAACGGGTAGGTAGGTTGAGTCGTTTTTTAAGTGTCGTACGTTTCATTTTTACATGCGGGCCCAATGTCATCCTTCTGTCGAAGGTGAGTCCAAGGTAAAGTACCGTGTCCGTTAGAGGAATTTGACTATTATAAATATTAACTGTATGGCAGGTGTTTTTTCTAAGAGTAAATGTTATATGTTTGGAATTATCGTGATTAAGTCCAATTTTTCATAGTTTGAACCAATTTTGTAATTTAAGTAAGCCATGTTGTAGAGTTAGCGAGGCCTGTGTAGAGTCTTGGTGTTATTCAAGAAATGTTTTGTCGCCTGCATAAGTAGCTCTCAATGTCTCATCATTAATAGGTATATCGTAAATGAATACAACGTTAAGTAGAGGAGCCAGTATTGAACCTTGGGGAGAAAAAAAATTTATATATTTTAATAATGGCGGACCTTGACGGCATTTTCAGTGTGCTTATTGCAGGTCAACATTTTTTAGCTTATTAACTCGATACGAACAACTGTCACATCTTTTGGACTACAGATCTCCAATCAACTTACAAAAGAAGCGACCAATCTAAACCACCATACTAGGACCTATTTGGACATACGGGGCAGAACTTTCTTCAAAACACAAGCACATTAACAAAATTCAAACCACAGAATCCAAAATACTTCGTGAAATCGTCAATGCTCCTTGGTTTATTTCAAATCACACCATACACACAGATATGAACATACCAAAAGTAAAATCCTATATACACAACATTTCATTCTTCTACTCTCAATCATCCAAAATCACTCGCCCTTTCTCTTCCTTCCTCACTGTACCTGGTGAGTCTCAACGACGACTAAAAAAGCAGTGGCCTAGATATATCCTGATGACAATGTAAACAAGGATCAATGATTTAAAAAAGACACAACAAGCTGCAACACATTTGCTTGATGCATTACATCGCAGTGGCAAATTTAATGTAAATTAAAATAAAAATAAAAAATCCCTCCAAAATGTTTTGTCTTGAGATTAATAACTTTTCAGGTTTCGCTACTTTTCAGGTCGCCTTCGTCCTCATACATTCTTCTTAATGTCTCTACATTGGTTCAAATAAAAGGAATATTGGTATGAAAAACTCACCCAAAATTGTGACAATATGTTGACTTGCATCAGCCGCTCGATGTGCTCGTCAGTGACCTCGAGGATGCTGGCCGAGGATACGATACCGGCGTTGTTAATGAGAATATCCACAGGAGGGACCTGCTCCACAAGCTTCGATACCTGTTGCTTGTCAGCGATGTCGCAGTACGCAGCTGTCGCGCTCCCCGGCCTTGTTGCGTTGCATAGCGCCGCCGTCTCCTCGGCTGTCGACAGCGAAACGTCGACACACGTCAGCTTCACGCCTTCCTTGATTAGCCGCAGACAGATCTCTCGCCCAAGGCCTCGTCCTGCACCCGTTACCTGTAACAAGCAAAACAAAGATCAGAAAAAAAAATATATTATTTCGGACATCATACATTGTGCCCAACGGACTCAAAATTGAAACGCAAATATGATAGAATCTGTATGAGGAGGATAGAAAGGAAACAAAACACACCTAGTTTTAGCACAGTGAATTTTTGGGTATTATTATTTATTTATTTATTGAGTATTACAACAATCTGTCTCTTGGACATTAGTTATAATGAGGTAGGATAACATTCACATAATATGTACAACAAAATAAAATAAATAGAAGCAAAATAATAATCAAAAGATTGGGTATTATTTAAGTAACTGAATCAGAAGTATATTCAATGAAATTAAATTAAAGTAATGACATAAAATAATAAACAATGTTCTACCAAATGTCTTATTTTCTTTTTCTGCATTACATTTGTATCTCATTTTTGAGGGGAAAGTGGTGTAGGCATTCATGATTAATTGCGATGGACTCTACAAGCTACTAAGGCCGAGGCTATAAAGACCCAAAGCATTCAGAGAATAAAATGGCTGAGTAGGAAAATGTAAATAATCAGAAGACAGAAGAGAACGAATTGATATAAAAGGTATAGACTTTAGATCTCAAAAGATGCCAAAATTCAATTAGAAACATTTATGAAGATGTGAGTAGCTGAAAAACAATTTAAATCAGAAACATAAATACAAAACTGAACACCTCCTGATCTCAAATGCTGAACAAAATGAAGGATAATTAAACCATTTCAAGAGACTACTGAATCTAGAGGTTGAAAATAGAAAGGCAGATAACGAAACTACATAGAAAATGTAGGAAATTATCTGCAAAGATGTCCCACTAGACACAGAAGATATTCTATTGACTCTGGAATAAATTAAAAGCCTGTCGCACTTGTAAAAAATACTATGGTTAAATAGCTGATGGGATTCACAAATTTATTTCCTTTAAATTTTTTTTTTCGGATTTGGTATTATATATTTATTCGTGTTTCCCTTTCTTATATTCTTTGTAATATAGCTTTTTTACTTTCGTGGATCATTTATATAAGTGTATCTATTCAAATTCCTTTTTTCTGAGACACACTGATGCTTGGAATATAGTTTTAGATGCAACTCACATTTGCAGTAACCATCTATACAGCCTGAGGATTTTTGCCAGACATAGAAAACTGTACGTAGCCAGCTCTTCTATCGGAAAATTCCTTAGTTACTCGTATATGCTCCAAATAGGAAGACAAAAGTATAAAATCCATCCTAAAGCACTTCGATTAGCAGAGTTGAAACTATCATGGACATTACAAGAGATGCCTAGTACTCATACTAAATATATTATCATATTAAATTGAAGACTACGCGAACAAAGTCGTGGGTAACATATAGTTAGTTTATAGTTCACTCTATATTACGAATTATTAATTACACTTAATCCTCATTATTATGTTTTTTATTATAGTCCGTGGTTTATACACCTTTTTATCTAATTATTAACGCTCGCCTAAAACTTTGTATATAGCTTCATCTCATCGTAATCTACAAATATTTTATTTACGAAAATTATGGGAATTGGGTGGTTTTCAATCTTGAGATCGGCAAACTAATTAGGGACTAGAAAATCACAAATACCTATTCGCATTTCACTTGAATCGGATGACAATATGATCACAAAGTGGAGAAAAAAGGTGGCCTACAAAAATATTGCTCCGTTTGGCGTGACCTCCATCCCCAAAACGTCATAATTATATGAGGTTATGAACACGAAACGAATCAAGATTTTTAATATTTTTGTAGGCCAGTTTTTCTCGATTTTATGATGATATTATCTTACAATTAAAGCGGAAAGAAAATGGGTATTTAAGAGTTTTTAGTACCTAATTAAACAGACAAAGATCACCAATCTCCAAATTGAAAACGCCACAACTCCGAGAATTTTCGTAAATAAAAAATTTGTAGGCTACGATCAGATAACAAAGTTTCAGAACTATTAACGAAGTTTCAAGTGTATGTTCAGATTTGATGAAAATGCATCTGTACCACGGACTATTACTCTGTTCATAGATTTTCTCATTTCCTGTATATCGTTACATTAATTTCAATTTTTCTTAGGATAATACTACATTCATAGTTGGGAGGTTGATTTTAATAAACATTTTATACTATTCATTTTTTCTACCGCCATTCCAGACTATTTCTTATCTCATATACATGCTCAACTAATAAAAGTTTACAATGGAAAATATTTTGATTAAATGACTAATTTTATTTTTTATTTTTTTTTTAAGGTTTTTGCATTACAGAAATTTTAATTATCTCGTTTAACTCCCCTCCCCAAGATGTGGTTTGAAAAATATAAATTAACAATAAAAGGAGTAAAAATAATTGTTAACCTAGGCCAAACATCATATTTATGAAGAAAACTAAAAAGTAATGAACATTGATCTTCAATTTGATCAATCTAATATACTTATAAGAAAAAATAGAACCGATCCCTTTTCCTAAGCGGAAATATTTAGATTAATGTCTATTTTTTTTTTCATGTAATATCGGCTATAAAATTGAAGGATGCAAGTTATCTAATAATGGAAGAGTCCTGGACAGGGCAGTACTCTAGATGTTTCCAATACCTGAAGACTCTCTTGGGGGGAGGGGAAAATAATTTCCTGCGAAAGGTCTCCCCGCCGCAAAGATAATTAGATCGCCCGCTCAATCAGTTTTGTTGTGATCCAATATCTGTTGCCCTGTTACGAAGCGAGGATCGAACCCGCGGGTTATTTGTCAAGTTCGGGGAGGAGGGAGGAGTGCAGTAGATCATGACCTCACTGGCCCAGTGCCAGCCACAATCCCCCACCTGTACCATACATCCTCACCAACCCGACAGGGGGAGCCCCGAAGTAATTTAAGAACACCCCTTGTTAAATTTATTTCTCTATGAACCTCAATATTATTTCTAGTTTTACTTTTTCTTGTTGTAATTCAAGGAGCATTTTATTACATTTTGAATGAATATACACTTTAAGCTGTAAAATAAAACATTAATGGTTTTATTAACAAAAGAAGCAGTGTATATAGAAAAAAAGGTTAGCTTGCCAATCCATATTTGACTTTATTTTAAAATCAAACAGTGTTTAGTATAGTTAATTTTAGTTTCTCTGAGTTGATCTGATTGTCAGTAACCCACACCTGAGATAAATAAATATATTAATGCTCTTATAATTTTGTTTATTATTTAATAACCTGTTATTTATTTATGAAGTATCCTAATGGTATAAAGTGGTCTGCCACGAGGTTATATTATTATTATTATTTGCCAAATATAAGAGGGATGTTACAATATAGTGACTGTGGTCGTTCATAATAACAAAGTTTGTCCTTCAAGATCATTAATGACATCCACTATATATTTATTTCCAATATTTTCGTACTAAAAAAAATCGCTTACTTTTCTTATTTTGCCAGGTCAGTCACCACCCAGGTTAATTTTTGATTTTTAGTACAATTTTTTTGTACGGAATGAATTATAAAATTCTTGGATACGCAGATGATATAGCTGTTCTTGGAAGTAATCAAGAGGACATTAAGAAACTCGCTAAGACTCTGATAAGAGAGACAGAGTAGATCGGTCGTAATTGACAATATAATCTTGATTTTAGTCATCCCGAAGCCCAATACAATTCACAATACAAATATTATACTGTTGAAAAGAATCAAACATAAAATGACACGAGAATTGAAAATAAAAATAGTACTTCAACATACGGACGGATATATGCTATTAATAATTTTGTTACTGTAAAAAAATCGTCAAAAATAATGATCAGGATTTTATTTTTTATCACTTATGATCAAAAATAAAAATCGCTCTTAATAAAATTCATCAAATGATCTTTAAAAATGCAAGATATACATTTTGATTGGTTTATAATTTTTCAACATGTTTAAAAAAATTCTTAAACATAAATTTTCAAAATAGTGATAAAAATATCTAAAATTACCTGTAGCTAAAATCTCTATCCAAATACCCCAATACAACCATATATTAATTAATAGATCATAAAATTCTCTACCAAATGTAAAAATAGTATTAGTAGGATTTTGAGTTTGAAGAGTTTTATTGCACTTTAAATCCAATACAGTAAATTTTAATTTAACAGTTACTGGTGAAAATTGCTTAAATCTAGCTCCAAATATCCTAGTATAACCAAATGTCACTGAAAAGAACATGACATTTTCTATCAGATTATGAAACAATATTTGTGGAATTTTAAGTTATGAGAGATTTATAATGTAAATCATATAGGTTTTTGCCTGATGCGGAAATGGTGTGCTATTCGTTTTCGAAAAATACCTGTAGCTAAAATCTCTCTCCGAATAACCCAATATCACCATATATTAGTGAAAACAGAATAAAATTTTCAATTAAATGGAAAAATAATACTAGTGGGACTTTGAGTTTGAGTTTGAGGAGTTATATTATAATTTAAACCTAATACGTTAAACTTTAATTTATCAGTTACATGGTTTTATTCGGAGAGGTTATAGCAATTTTCACTTAAATAAATTGTTATAATTTTCTCTCTTCTACAACCATATATCACTTATAACAACATGCAATACTCTTCCAAATGATAAAATAATATTGGACAGACCTATGAGAATTAATATGACATAAATAAGTAAAATAATTTCATCATATTGCGGTATCGGCATGGTCAACAAAATAATGTTTGTATTTATTGGTTTGGAGATTCAATATCTCCGCAGGTGTTTAGAGGTAGAAATATAACCTATAGAGGTCAATATATATTAAAATCAGATACTGGAGTGACTTCACCAGTAATCCTATGAAGTGGCGAGTATTAAAACAATTCAAATTTATTTCTATAATTCCTTTAGTCTTATGTCAACCTTACCTTGCAGGCTTTGGCCAAGTTAACATCATTAGTTTTATTCTATGAATAAAATATAATGTCTTATTGATTACCTTATTCTCACTTCTTCACGCCATACTTTCTACGGTTATGATAAAACAATAAACTGTTGGAATATACACTAAAAGTACTCTATAAGGAATTGGACAGTGGAAAAATAAGCAACTTCTAAGATTAAGGAAGCAATAGAATAAAACAAATGATGTTAACTTGACACGAGCCAACTATAAACACATTTTGACCTCTACCTCTAAACATTTATGGAGTTATCAATCCTCAATTTAATAAATACAAATATTATATTTTTGACCACAGTGGTACTAACCATTAATAAAATTTTATTAAACTCATGTTATTTCATTCATGTTAATTAACTCTCATGTTAGTCATGTTTAAATCTCATGTTTAGTTGTTATATATGCATGTCATTTCAAATGATATATGGTTGTATTCGGAAAGAAATTATAAAAAATTATTTAGGTGAAAATTGCTATAATCTCTCTCTGAATAAAACCACATAATTGATAAATTAAATTTTAATATATTAGGTTGAAATTGTAATATAACACTTCAAACTCAAAATCTCACTAATATTATTCTTTCATTTGACAGAGAATTTCATCCTATTTTCATTAATATATGGTTGTATTGGAGTATTCGGAAACAGGTTTTAGCAGCAGATATTTTTCAAAATCGATTAACACACCATTTCCGCATCACTCAAAATGTTATTTTATTTACATTATAACAAATTTCATATAATTCGAAATTCCTCAAATACTATTTCATCATCTGATCGAAAACATCATGCTGTTTTCAATGATATGTAGTTATTCTAGGATATATGGCGAGAGATTTAAGCAATTTTCACTTGTGTTTGTAACTGATGTAAATTTACTGTATTGTGTTTGAAGTGTTAAAAAATCCTTCAAACTCAAAAGCCCACTAATTTTATTTTTGCGTATGGTAGAGAGTTTTATGCTGTTTTCGTTAATATATGATTGCATTGGTGTATTTAGAGAGAGATTTTAGCTACATGTAGTTTTAGGTATTTTTATCACTATCTTGTAAATTTGTGTTTAAGAATTTTATACATAATGAAAAAATATAATGCTAAAAGTTATCGTACCAGCGGTTTTTTCATTATATTAATGAAAAATGAATAAATTATGAAAGCTGTTGGATATTGGTAATACAATATTAGTTCTACAAATGAAAACTAAACAGGTACATGCTATATAGGGTTATGAGGCCAAAATGTCTTCCCAACTTAAAAAGTTTAAAAACTCATAATTCTGAAACTAATCGTTAGAAATGGCTAAAATTCGGTATTTTTACTTACAAGTAAATTTATTTAATACTTATAAATTTTCATTAAGATCTGAAGGGGGTGGTTTACAAATTAAACTTTTTCTGTATGATTTGGCATAGAAAATAACCCTTAGTATAACCGAGAATATCACAAAAACACTTTTGTGTCATTGATTTGTCTGGATTTCGGCGAATTAACTACTCGTATCCAACGAAATAGAAAAAGACACTTTCATCATTAGAAATACTCAGAAGGAACGGAATATCATCAGTACTGGAAATTACAAGTAACATAGGATTGTCTCGGTTACAGTAGTTATATTTTATCCCTAATGATGTACTAATAACTTGGCATGGTAGTAGATGTCAATAAGAACAGTTAGGCTAGAGTGAAATCCCTTAGAGCTGCTTATTGTGTGATGCTAAGTTGTACCTGAGCATTAGACACACAGATAACTCAAACTGACGAAGCTCCATTACCAGCCTGGTATTCTCAGCATTGCCCAGTTTGAGAGATGCCTTGAGTTCATTGAGGCGGTAATACAGCGGTAATCTATCTCTATCACTTTAACGTATTGAAATAGTTTCACTCTTCCAAGTTTCGGCAATAATCTTTGATTATATATGCATAAAAATACAAATATGAAAGGAGAACACTTGAATAGTGAAGATATCATTAATTTTTTTTTTGCTGAAGTGCTCCAAAAAATGCCTAGAAAAGCTGTAGTGCTTTTGATAACTGTTTATAATGCAATACTGAGGACAACTTAATTTCCACTAATGTGGAAATACTCACATGTAATAATGATTCACAAGCCTAACAAGGACGAAAACTCACCTTCCTCATACCGACCAATCAGCTTACGTAACCTATCTGTTTTTTTTAAAGATTACTGAACAAAATACTTGTTGACATACTAACAAACACTCAAATAATACCTGCCCATTAATTTGAATTTAGGGCACATCACTCAACTGTACATCAACTACATAGAGTAACGGACTACATATCTACAGCACTAGAGCAAAAAGTATATGCAACTGGCGTATTTCTGGATGTTGCTCAAGCGTTTGACAGAGTTTGGCACAAAGGTCTTCTCTTTAAACTCAAGACAATACTCCCACCTACATATTATCTAATTCTACAATCCTTCCTTTCCGATAGATTTTTCTCGGTCCGACACGTCAGAACTATCTTCCATCAGGTCTATCTCAGCAGGAGTACCTTAAGGTTCAGTACTCGCTCCACTGCTCTATATCACATACACCCATGACATACCTTGCAGTCCCAACATTTAACAGCGACATATGCAAACGACACAGCAATTTTAGGAAGACAGAATTGGGAAGAGACATAAGAAGTTGTTTTTTATTTTTTTATTTATAATATACATATATTTCTGTCGGGATAAATTGTCTATCTATTAGTGTATTTAGCAAATATGATATCAAGGAGAACAGAACAAAACTAAAACAAAAAAAATTATAATAGTACAGAAGAAAAAGATTTAAAAAAATAATATTATACCCAATAAAAAATAATAATGAAATAAAAGTAAATTACAAAATTAAACTAAGAAAAAAAGTCTGCCAACTAAGGTCAGTATAGCTTTCTCAA